AACCAATGAGATCACAAGCACCATTGCTCATAAAATTGATTAAGTTCAGGACCAAATTGGGAAGCGAGTCAGGTAGCAAGCAGGCATGAATACGGAACAGGGTCTCTTCCTGTTGGGGGCTGGGCTAGTGACTCACTTGGGCTCTTTCAAGGTGATTGATGCCTATTTAGAATATCAGTCCCAGATGCCCATCCCCAGGGAAGCATGTAGCCGTGCTTCCTCTTTTGTCTTGGTCTTGAGGTGTGGCCCATACAGAGTGTCTGTCTCTTCCAAGTTGCAAAGCCACCTTGTCTTCCATCTTGTCGCCTTGAGGGCCTGGCCCTGTCTGACTGCCTAGAATATTTTAATCTCATTTAGCTGCCTACAACATCAGGGCTGCCAGGTGGGCAGTCTCTGTGCCCCTCTAGCTGTGGGTGGCCTGGTCATGTGTCTCACTACCCAGTCCTGCCCCTCCTGACACCGACAGCCCCTCTGAGGCACCTCGGCCAAGAGCCCTAGGCTGTGCAGTGGTGGTGGTGGTGGGGAAACAGCCCCTCTGGACCCTGTACTTTGGATACTCTGCACCTCCTCGACTCAGCTGCCTTCAGTTGGGCCAGAAGGTTTCAGAAGGCTGGTGCCCAGTTCAGGGCTGTGTCCTTCAGGGTTCTGCTGGCCTGAGGCAACCCTGGCTGCCGGTGTGGTGTCTCCGTCAGGGCCTTCTCTCCCCAGACTGAGAAAGCCCAGTCACACAAGTACAGGTGACTAGGATTCTTTCCTAGCGAGTCACAGGTTAGATGGTGCTCCTTTTGTTTTGTTTTGTTTTGTTTTTTGAGACTGAGATTCACTATGTAGACCAGGCTGGCCTCAAATCACACCAGTCTTCCTACCTCAGCCTCCCTAATGATGGATTACATCATGAGCCACCATGATGGCTTTTTTTTTTTTCTTTCTTTCTTTTCTTTTCTTTTTTGCAGTACTGGGAACTGAACTTGGAACAATGCACTTGCCAGGCAGAAAAATTGTTTTTTGTTTCTTTGTTTGGCACAGGGTCTCTCTACACAGTTTGGATTGGTAGTGATCCTTCTGTCTTAGCCGGCCCAGTCTGGATTATAGGCATGTACCCCCAAGCTCAGGGATCCAGGCCCACGTGGCATATGGTACCCAGCATTGAACTTGGGACCTTGCACTTGCCAGGAAGGTGCTTATGCCGCTGAACTCTCTCCCTGGCCATGGTGGCGTTTATAAGCCATGACTTGCACATGTGCGAGACCTCCTTATCCCAGCCTGGCTGCGGGGGCCCTCCCTTTCCTCCTCTTCAATGTTTGCCAGATTGTCCCTGTGGGGGTGCTAGTGTTCTGGAGGGGCCCTGCCTCCCTGCGAGGCTGGCAGCACTCTCCTCCTGCAACAAGGCTGGAAAAGGACGTATCTGAAAACTTGACAGTAACATTGGTATTTTTAACTTAACTCTAAGAGTGTCTTAAATTACTTGATTATACTTTATTATTTAATTTTATCCTCCCATACCTTTTGTGTGCATGCACATGTGTGTATGTGTACTGGGACTGAATTCTGGGCCTTCACACTGAACTACATCTGTAGCCCTTTTTCTCTTTTATTTTGAGACAGAGTCTCACAAAATCTCAAAGGTGCAAGTTGCCCAGGCCAGGCCTGCACTTGGGACCCTCCTGCCTCAGCCTCCTTCCAATCAACAAGCGTCCCTCATGCTTAGCCTTCTCTCCAGAGAGCTCACATTTCCAGTTTACCACACCAGCTGTTTTCCTCAACCTCCTGCTGCAAGTTTGCGTCACAGTTCTTTCACAGGCTCATGATGTAATCCATCACCAGGGAGGCTGAGGTAGGAAGGACTGGTGTGATTTGAGGCCAGCCTGGTCTACACAGTGAATCTCAGTCTCAAAAAACAAAACAAAAGGAGCGCCATCTAACCTGTGACTCGCTAGGAAAGAATCCTAGTCACCTGTACATGTGTGACCGGGCTTTCTCAGGCTGGGGAGAGAAGGCCCTGACGGAGACACCACACCGGCAGCCAGGGTTGCCTCAGGCCAGCAGAACCCTGAAGGACACAGCCCTGGACTGGGTGCCAGATTATTTCAAGGGAGTATAGGAGTGCACCACGGCACGCAACTCTCTTACGTCCTTCCAGAGATGATCTGATCAGCTGGGCGTGGTGATGCCCACTTGTGCTCGGGCCCTCTAGGCTAATGAGGCAGCTACAGTTTTGTAGTTTATTACCCCCACCCCATGTTGGTCTCTGTCTTGGGCTTGGACTGTGAAGCAGCAGACCCTGGGCCCTTGTCTGCTGGTCACTCCATCTCCACCGTGGCCATTGTCTTACCTGGGAACAACCATGCAGCAAACGTGGGGCAGGAGGTTGAGGAAAACAGCTGGTGTGGCCAAGTGGGAATGTGAGCTCTCTGGAGAGGAGGCTAAGCGTGAGGGACGCCTGTTGACTGGAAGACTGTGGAACAGATATATTTGCTTTTTTTCTGGAAAGAAAGGTTGAAATATGTCAGCACTTGGAATTGTTGCTGTCTGAAGTTTTAAATTCTCAAAATAAAGATGCTAATAAAAAGTTAAAAAGAACAAAACAAGACAAACAAAAAAGATTTAATCAACTATGCAGATAACCAACTGCACTGAATAAAACTTGTTCCCACTCATCGCCCCAGTGAGACTGACGCAGGGTCTGTACCAGCATCAGCACTAGGACTACCAGGGCATGGTGTCCCCAGCGGGTGTCACAGGCAGCACCCTATGCCTCCATCAGTCTGAAGGCCTCAGTCGGGCCACCCTCTCCAGCAGCCCTAGAGGCTGAGCGCGGTGGCCACCTGCACAGCCCGGGGCACACCAAGCCCTGTTGATTTGAGGGAGCCCATGCAGGGCAGGGAGCTGGGCACTGAGCTGGACTTGGCTGCCCAGAGCTTACCTCTAGGTCCCTAACGGGGGACCTAGCAGCGCCCTCAGCAGTCCCCCAGCGGGCATCTCTGTTCCCTTCTTCCCGCCACCTCTCTGCCAACCTGATGCCCTGCAGACTCCACAGAGGGCACATGCCTTCCCGACCCTGGGCCAGTCTGTCCCCAGGGCAGCTGAAAAGATGGCTCATTTTCAGCAACAAAGAAACTGACATCCAAAAAATTTTAAAAGTAAACGGTAACCCAGGGAGGCCTGTGGTCCCTCGCGTCTCCTCCCAAGCAGCTAGCTGGCATGTGGCCATGTGCTCACCATCTTCACCCCCACCTGGCTCCTCTGTGGCCCCACCCCCAGCAGTGTGTCCAAGCTGTGCACTCAGTGTGGGGCACCAGGTCACTGGCTCATTCTCTTGTGTGTGATGGCACTGCACCTATTCATAGTAGCCACTTTCTTTACACCCCATTTCCTTCTTGCTCCACTTAATTATAAAAATTTCAAAAGTGGAGCTGGAGGTTCAGTTTGGCGGTAGAGCACATGAATAACATTGCCAGGCCCTGAGGTTCCATCTCCACACCAAAAATGACAATAAAAGTCAGGTAATGTGTTGTTGTTATAGTTGTGCAGGCAGAACCCAGAACCTCTAGGGTGCCAGGCATGTGTGTTCTATCACTGACCCCCTCAAAAGTCACTTTTAAAGTAAATCTTTTATTTTAAGGCAGTTTAAAGATTTATAGCAGCCAGGAGTGGTGGTGCACACCTGTAATCCCAGGATACTGAGGCAGGAGGGTCACCACGAGTCTGAGGTCAACCGGGGCTACATGGAGCGTTCTCAGCCTGGACAACATATTGAGACCTCATCTCAAACAAACAAACAAACAAACAAACAGAAAAGAGGGCCGGGGAGATGGCTCAGTAGAATAAGCACTTCCCTGCCAAGCGCAAGGGCCTGAGTTCCATCCCCGGTTCCGGAAAAAAAGCAAGTAAGCAAGCAAGCTAGCTATCTGGGGACTAGAAAGATAGCTTGGTGGTCTAAACACATGCCTGGCAAGCACAAAGAGCTGGGTTTGATCCCTAGTACCACATGCCATGCTGACCCCTGGGTAAGGTGGCACATACCTATAATCCCAGCACTGGGGAGGTTGAGATAGAAGGATCAGTATGAGTCCAAGCTGGGTAGCAAGACCCTGTACCAAATAAATCAATAATTTTTTAATTTTTTTATGAGCAGAACAATATTTAGGGAAAGAAAACTTCTGTCTGACAGAGGGACACAAGGGATGCCCTGAGTGGGTGGTGCCTGTTTTTAAAATATTTGGAAAGAAATCTGAACAACTAATTTGAAGACAATATGCAATTTAACCATGGTTGAATTTCTATGATTTTGTTTAGTGAGATTCTGTACCATTCATTTTTTTTACTATTCTTATATGCTCTTAAATAT